TGTTTAGCATCAATTAACTTCCATCAGGGTGACATGGAACATATCTACTTAAAGGAGACATCATTATTCATGAAGAACTAGAATTTATCTGAAGTCGAATACAATTCTGATTCTAACTGAAGTAGACCCTTACAGCGCGATCTGAATAATTAACGTAGTAGATTTAACGAGTATGCATACGCATATACATTAATCATATGTCGAATAAATATTCAATTCAACAACAGCATACTCTCACTCAAAAGGTACATTAACTCACAGAAAAGGTGGCTTCAGAAGCTAAAACTCTGCAGATGGACGTACAATACAATATCTATAAATACAATATTGATTAATCTTATCCTTTTCATCCAATTCCATTCTATTTACTCCAACACCAAAATAACACCGTGAACTTTATATAGGGTGCCCTCCAAGTCACTTTATCAATTAAAAATCTAGTAACTATAATAATTAACAAAAAAAATGTATTACATTTTTATATGATAAAGTGACTTACGTAGAAAACCCTGAATCATTCATCAAAAAATCTATATATCCGACTGTTTCAAGAAAAATTTCGCTCAACTGCAGATCGACGACGCAATAAAAGTTAAACGCGACGCGAATCGCGAACAAGGATAAGGGGGTCGGTTACGCAAACCGCGCTGGAAGACAGTGTGTGTCCGAACAAAATTTTCGTGTCGCGGCGTACTATTAAAGTCCCGAGACCGTTCCGCATGTAAATTTGTCCCGCGACGTACCGCTCCGTTGCGTTCTCGTCCGCGAATGCACGTGCAGCAAAACCGCCTAGATTTACACGTTCCCGCGACTACGCACCCGCGGAACACACGTAGGACATACGTGCCTCGAGCACGATTCATCGCCCAGCCTGTTGGTTACTTTCGAAGTAACACGTGTTGCATGGCCAAACAGTCCATGGAAAGTATCCGCGCGCTACGGAGACAAGGAAGACGTCCCTACATACTAGAACTCTGAGTTTATAAGATATCCAAGCATGGAGCTAAGCACGGAAGGAAAAGAGTGGCTTTTGCCCTGCCCTACGAGAAAAAAAATTGAATTTCGCCATCCCCTCCCCCGCCTTTCCCAGAGTTATAAAATTTTTGCATAATATTTAATATTGCAGTATAATTTGAAATACCACCAAAGCCTCTATTAACAAAATGCATACATTTTCAATAATTTATGACCTTAAAAAGAAAATAAAGTGTGTCCGGCTACGTACAGCCTTTATCACTGTGGCAATCGATGTGTTAATATTTTTGCCCCCACCCCCCTGGCTGATAACCTGGCTACGTCCATGTACCCGAGTACCCAGGTACCTGTGAGATACCCGGGTAAACTAAAATTACCAGGTTACCCGGGTATCCATGAGATATTTGAATATATGAGACAGTCGAGAATTTTGATTTGAAAGTCGATCGCAGCCGCGTAGGCATATTGCACTACTTAGCACTCGCGTTACAGTGCAAAAACATGAGTTACTCGTTCTTATAATAGAGTCATTCCACGCGAAATCAAACACTTTTTGGAGCACCATTTGGGATTGTGCTCAAATTTGGATATGTTGTAGTCTTTAACGATGTATAAACTTATCTCGAAGGATTTTTGAAAATTTGGAAAATTATTGATTTTACAGCTGTTTGACTTTTAGGGTCAACCTTTTTTCGATAAATTATAACTATTGAACTAATACACTGATCAAACTGAGCTTTGTGGGTACTTACAGTGAAGACATAAGAGTAATAAAAATGATTTAACTTAAAAAAAATATTTTTTAACCATTTATTTTGCAGTTGTTTTAAACAAATGCCCTGTTTTCATACCGGGAAATTATTTAAATATTTAAAAAAAATGAGGATATAGCTCCATTTGTTCTCTTTATGGATACATCTACAAAAATATGGATACTTTAAAATTGACCGTATGAAAATTAATTGAAATGAACGCTGCGTCGAAGCCCATTGACTCGACCGGCCGAGCCGTACCGGCTAGTCTAATACCACGTATATGTTTATATATTTTTTTATAATTATTATCTTTATTATTGTAATACCATTTTCAGTTTATCTCAGTTCATTCCACTCATAACCGATATCGATAAAAAATGGTCGAAATACAATCGATATAAAAATATACCCAAATATCCAAATTGAAATTCTCGATTGTCTCATTAAATTCGGATATCTCATGTATACCCGGGTATCCGGGTAATTTTCGTTTACCCGGGTATTTCGGATACATACAAACGAGACACTCTCTAACGGGGAGGGGGGATTCTTTAAACACGGAAGTTTGAGAGCGCGAACAGTGAGCCATTTGTTCGGCCTGGACCCTTTTCCTCGAGGGTTTTCTGGAACAAGGACGGATTATACCCAGAAACCACTTCCGAGAAGACCGTTCCTCGCAGCTACGTTTAGCTGTACGTAATAACTCAGCCTCGAGCTAAATCTCCGTAGTCTGGAGTATTCTGGAATAGTTCAAGTATGATACTTGAAGTAAACATTGTGTTATGGTTCTCTGGGGGTAGGCGGAAGAAGAAATTTCATCGGATCAGGGTATTTACTCGATTTGATATAATGGTGTATCCTGGTTGTTTCAATCTATTGGTACTTGAGCGCACTCGTTTCTTTCACTTACAACGATAAAACGATGAACAATTTTGGGCCATACTCGAGAGTATAGAAAGTGTCCGACTTCGTTTCAGAATTCGATGGTTTGTCTATTTTAAAACTACCATTCTCCTCGTTTATTCGTCACATTTGTATCCGTTTGAATAGAATTATTTGAAATTTTCAAACGATTTGTTCCTAAGAAATGGAAAATACACCAAAAGTAGACATGAAATTTGAATACGTACGATACCAAAAACAATTATTTAAAAATATAACATCTATCGAAATATAATCTTCATTTTGGGTGATATAGACAGGAGGACAGCAGGGTTAAATTAACCTGGCTATTTAAATGCAGAAAGAAACTCTACTATTGCGAGTGCCACTTAAAATTTATAGATTTCCTACTAGGAAAAGGCCCCTTTGATGTGCTAAAGCTGGAAAACGTACAAATGAAGCGTTAAAACGAGTACATGAAAGAACATGTCCCTCCTACGATGATTCTTTCTGGATATTAGCCTGCTGGTGAACGCGTTAACGAAGGAGGAAACTGTCTCCTAAGGCTGTTGGGAAGCCACGAACTGATTCACCGACGAAAAGTAAGCCACGAGCGAGCGATCAAAGGCAACGAGGCCTAACGATCTATCAGAGGCTCAGGGCGTTTCACGGAAACAAAAAGCCGGCCACGACAATGGCACAGACTTTTCGTGGGAGCGCGATAACAAAGCTCCCATCACACGAACCATCCCGTTAAAAGGGAACAGAAAGGAAGAAAACCCCTGGTCCCTACCACCTCTCTGTTCCCTTCCGTTCCCCCTTCGCCTTTCTCTGTCACGCCTCCCTTTGTCCCTTCTTCGCACACGGACCGACGACCTCCCAAGATAGCGGCAGCACCGGAGGAAGTAAACGGAAGAGGACAAGAAAAAAAAAATATAGGGAGAAAAACCACGTGTAGGTAGTCGGTGCACTGTACTCGGGGGATTGTTTACAAGCTGTTTGGAAGAACTCTCTCTCCGTCTTCCAGTTCCTTGACTCGCAATCGAACCAACTCGATTCCATTTTCCTTCCTACGTTTTCTACAAGAAACTACACAAATCCTATACGGGTTAAGTTAAGAAACTGTACACATGTTCGACTGGAATATTTCACATAAAAGTATTTCTCTAACTAAAAATTCAGAAAGTCTTCAAGACGAAGATGTAAATTCTCGAATAAAAATACAAATATCTTCAATTTTCCATGAAATCACATCAATACGAAGCAATACATTCTTTAATAAATTGCAGCTTGCAGAACCACGTGTAGGTAGTCGGTGCACTGCACTCGGGGGATTGTTTACAAGCTGTTTGGAAGAACTCTCTCTCCGTCTTCGAGTTCCTTGACTCGCAATCGAACCAACTCGATTCCATTTTCCCTCCTACGTTTTCGCCTCCCTCCAGTACTACCGGAGTCTTCTCACCCCTGCCTCTTTTACTCTATCATTCTCATCCTGTTTCTGTCCCCTTTTTACCGGCTAAACAGCCCTCCTCTTCACCCGTGGACCACGGGTACGGGCCGTAGTACATACTACGCATCGAGCCTCGCGATTCACGCAGCCAAGCGGACTGTAATCGCGCGCAGCTGCTCCGACTCGGAAGAACGCTTGGCTACGATACGCTGATAATGGACGACAATTGGTATCGATTATGGTCATGGCTGTCGAAACTCTGGCGACGGGAGTCACCGGAATTGCTCGATTTGCATAATAAAGATAGAACGTACGAGTCGTGCTATTCGGTGGTGGAGAATAGGGTCTGTCGAATGATTTATAACGAGGGTTGACGATTCTGGTAGCTTAATAACGCTTTCCTAACTTTTTAATCAACCGAGGTAGACGTGTAGTGTATACGATTCATTTCGATCAGGATTAAATGTCAAATACACTCGAGAAGTTTAATATTACTTTAAATAAATTTTATACTATTCTAAACAATTACGATTATTTCAGTTACGAGTATTGAGTTGAACTTTTCCACGGTTTCCTGTACTCATAAAAGAAATTAATGGTAAAAATAGAACGCATATTTCTGGTATAGTAACATCCTCTTCTCTCTTTCTCCTTTAAACTTTACGTAGTTTATGGTACACGTTATATCGACCTACTTCTAATGTCAGTTTTACTGGATGAAAGAGTTCGTCCTACATATAAATAAATATGTAGATAACACCTGCCAAAATCACTCCCATACCCTTTCGGTAACACTAAAATTCAAGAAAGATCTCTACAACCTAAATCATCCTACAAACGATTCCATTAATCCCATTCAGGGTCAGGTGTATTACACCCTTGATCGCCCAATCGTTCGTAGTAAACGATTCCGTAAAAACAAAATTCCTTGAACTTACCGATGACGGTGTTAGCTGCGACTTCTTTAGCAGCAGCTGCAGCAGCGGCGGGTCCGTGGGCCAAAAAGTCACTGAGGGACAACGACGACGCGATGATCTGTCGCTTCTCCTCGAAATTCAAGTAATCCAAGCTGTTGCTTCTCTGCGGCCCCGCGACGATGGTCACGGTCTTGGTCGTGTGATGATGATGATGATGATGGTGCTGTTGCTGCAGATTGTTCTCCGTCGAGAGATTATTGCTTTTTTCGTTGTTGCCCTCGTTGGCGCCGGTGCTGGGCACCAGATAGACGCCGCTGACCCGAATGGACATCGTCGAGGTGCGATCCTTGAAACGGCCACGCTTCTTCCTCCTCCAGGGGCTGAGGATCGCGACTAGACCCGGCAAGGAAGCTACCGGGTGCTGGTCGGATGGAACATCCTGACGACTGCCCGGTCGAAAGGTCGGCTCGCGTCGCTTGTTACTTCCCGGCAGCTCCACGGCTCAGGGCTTGCTACTATCCGGCTCGCCGAGGAAATTTATAGGGTTCCCCTGAAGGCTACCAGGGAACTTGGCTATCGCATACGTGACCGTTCAGTTGGTTCTCCAACTTTCGGATTTCAATGGTACCGAGGAATACCTCCGTGGACCGAAAAACGTGGGCATCGACCGCGCCCTCTCAAAAGTTATTGTCTTCCAGCGGGTATTCGATTTCCCCGCGTGTAAAACGTAGATAGGTTCAAGTGTAAGATGGCAGGATATTGCATGGAGCGGATTCTCGTTATCACTTCGACGGATTATTTGCAGACATCAACGTAGAGAAGACCTTTGGACTCGCCGTTACTTTGGCACGTTCCGGCGATCGCCGATTTTCATGCTTCTCTTATGGCACTGCGTATATATGCGAAAGATCGGGGGATCCAATGGCTCGTATTTACAGCTGCGGATGACCGTGACTTCTTGCACGTGACTTTTTTTTTTTTTGTCAAGCCACCAAGGGGTCACGGTAAGGTTCAGGTTCGATGGATCGTCCTGCGCAATAGGAACCTGGTGAAGTTAACTGGCAATGGCCGGGCTCTCTCGCGAATGCCATGAATTCTGACGACGTTCGAGAGAAGCCGCGGAACGATTATAACCCCCGTCCCACGAAATGTCTCTTCCAGCGTCACGGTCCACCGATCTTTTAATTACGAACTGCTTAATTGCAGCTACGCCACCCTGATACGCGAAACTCCAACCACACAGAGAAATCCCCGTAAAATTGAGTGTGCCAGTCACTGAACTCTATTTGTCGAAATTTTAATTCGCGTTCGATTTAGTCAGCTATATGCTAATATGACTGGTGGAAGAATTTCAGGAAATATTCGTAGCTTAAACATTGATATTTAACAAATTTCGAACAGTAGCGAGTTTTAGATGTTTATCCTTTCTCTATTGTAGAGGCTTCTTAGAACCAAAGCCCATTACCTCATTAAGAAACGAAATGGATTATACCATTAGCAGACCTCACGTAGTAAATCATTTAAGATGCAGGAAATAAAATAGAGATAATAAGTATGTGTGTCGAAAACAAAAAATACAAATTTAACAGCCAGCAAAGTTGATTAATTTGACCACTTAGAGATTGAATTATCTTCTTTGATTTTAATCTCGTGGTTCTTTAAACACAAAACGATAAAAGATACGCTGATTCAATGGTAAACATTTATCTAATAGTCCGTATTTCCTGTCACAAATCAGCATTGAAAATCATAGGCTTTATTCAAAGATAAAAACACTTGAAAAATAATTAATGTAGAAAAGAACTTATAAATGGATTACGGATTTCATAAATTTCTGTTTCGTTTTTATTTATCAAATTTTTAAATTGGAGTGAATTTTTGCGTTGATTGTGATACTTGGAAAATAACTATCAAAATGTTAAATTCGCGCAAAAATCCGCAAATACAGAAGCAGTCGGATAGAAACAGTGCAATTAAAGAATTTCCTGCTTCCCAAAGAAATGTAAACACAAAGCACTATTATTCTGACGTTTAATCGAGACGGAAGATTGACACGTCCGGTGCTCCGACCTAATAACAACGCGACGTTATTGATATTTTTAATTTGATTTTTCTCGACACTTGCAAAATTAACAAGTAAACACTGTTGAATGAAATATCGTACGCGTACCGAACCGGAAGCGAAGTTGTAGGGCGTGCAATAATAACTATATTTCTCCGAACGTTCATAACCTAACCTGTATCCCGTTTGAAAACTCGCCGAGACGCCGAAGGTCGTGACTCGAGCGTTCCCATTCCCATTGGTAGATAAAAGGAAACAAATACCGCGTTCCTCTCGTCGGTGCAAATAAAAGTCTCTCGATTACGTAAACTATAATGAAAATCGTCTGATATGCGGATAGTAGAGACGTTAAACGTGAAGCCGGTTGGTGTGCTCGTAACCTCAAACATTCGGACGAGTACGGTGCGCAACGAAAGTATTCGAACGCTGGGATATTTAAAGATTCACAACACATTATAGAGACTCTACAAATATTACGTTAGTCTGTAAAGAACCCAACATGTACTGGCAAAGATCGATCAAACATATAAATTTGACTGAAAATGAAAACATCACAATATTCAGATGTCACAGTGTAGATATAAAAACCTGTCGTTCAAACGCTTTCGTTCCTCGGTTGCGTGTACCTACGGAGACAAGAGTCACAGCGCACGCAGAAGGCATTCGATTTTATCGCGAAACAGGGTAACGTATCGGCGCAAGCATGGTAGCCACTGGCCGGTAGGAGACGCATTTCGTGGGTGCATATGTACACAGAAGGAGTATATCATGCGACGTACTTGACAATTCCTCAAGGGTGGGCAGTGGATGGCTCGTTTTTTGTTTTTCTTTTTGGCAGGACTCGGTAAAAAGCCGAGTAGATCTCTTAATGTCTCCTCGACGGTTGTATCACACCGGTGTGAGTGACGATACACGACCAGGCGTCGCCACTCCTTCACGGGACACCTGTGTGCCTCGTAGCTGCAGGTGAGAGGAGAGCGAGACGGAGAGAAAGGACGCAACGATTATAAACACAGAAGCACATACTACGCTCGTACGCACAGAGAGGACACACAAGCGCGCGAGAAAGAGACGGACAGGCTTTCTTTCAGCAGGCACAACTGTGAAAAAGGCACGGTGCCACGACACACCGAACTTAACACGACGACGTCGTCGACATTGAATACGACACGGCACCGCGACGCCGACGTCGACGGCGGAACCACGCACCGAATGTTGACACCACACGCTCTCTCGACTCTCCGCGAGAGACACTGAACGCGAAAGACGACGTCTCAGCCGCCTCGTTCCACTCGCACCGAAGAGGAACAAACGAAACGACTCCGCGTGGACACGACGCACACACGCCGGGCCGCGGTCGTTTCGACCGGGGACGGATTCGCGACGGAATTAATTACGGCTGCGCTCGATGCAACATGTAAAAAGCAAACAGCGCCGAGCTTAACGGACGACTATGACAACGACGACCGCGCCACGAAACACACACCGAGCGAGGCTCGCGAACACTGAGGGCGGCCATGCGATCGACGCGCCGCCACGCGCTGCCAGACCACACCAGCCGACCACGAGACAACGGCTGCCCCGACCGAATGGGGGAAAGTGAACCTCCTATACTACGTTCGTCGTAATTTTTCCCATTCAGGACCACGGACGAAAAATATATACACCTAAACTCGCGACTTTTTTTTTTTTCTCAGTGAAAGTAAAGTCTTATTGGAACGTAAACTTTACGCATTCGAACGCACACTTAAAAGAAAAAGTATTTGTACATTGAGTGTTTTTTATCAATTCTATTAGGAGGATCAGGAACATTCGATTACGAAAAAGTACATTGTTTGCAAAATTACTAGATTGAAAGCGATGTGACGTCATAGGAATTTTTATAATATAATCTAGCGATTTGTAAAGTTATTCGAAATATGTGGATATATGCAAATACAGTTTGTATTCATTTTAAGCATAACAAAGTTACTTTAGAAAAGAAATATTAGTAGTTAAATATTTAATGTAAATGATAAGAGTTGGTCTCATCATAAGGATATTTTATATTTCTTTTAGTTCCTATTATGATTAAAGAAAATTAGCGTTTTGATAACAGAAAATCGTAGCATCATTTTAAATTAATTTCATTTCTTGAGCTACGAGATACATTAAATTTGTTCATCTACTTGAACGTACATTGTCTTCTTGATTATCGTATTGGCGTAGTCATTTGACCGATTATAATTTCCTTTGCAAATACGCGACAAATTTGAATTTCTGCTTCAGTATTTGAATTATTTTTAAGACATTTGTGAGTAACATTCATCTAGTTTATTCGAAATGAAATTAAATAAGATCGACAACTTTGCAGATGAAAGTAAAATATAAAATTATATATTCTATTTTAGCATTAAAGAGACCAATTACAGGACTAAGTGTGTATTAATGTAGAATTCAAACATTACATGATAAAATTATGAACTTATTAAATGTAGATTACAAAAGACACTCTTTTTATAAAATACGACAGTAATAATTGATCAATCGATTAATCGATCAAAAATTGATAAAGTCGTTAAACATTCTATTGTCAGAGAGCTAATAATACTGCAGAGATGTCGATCACGCATCAGACACGTGGTCTCCATCGAACACAATACGTGGTTACATTCTTGAATCTTATCGCTGTCGGGCTATGTATGTACGCACATCCGTATATGTTCTTTTGTCCCTCTAATTGAGGAAAATTATGGACTTCATTCGAATACACATTTAAATTCCACTCCAAAATGTCAACCGTGACTCATATTCGTGATCTTTAAACGCGTGCGACGGTGATTATGAATATCAATCATACAAATACCACAAATTTTCGTAAATGACACCTCATCATTAGCTTTGTCGGTTTTCCGTTGGTGTTACATTGAAATCCGCGTTTAATTTAATTACATACTTTAATTCATCCACGAAGATAAAAGAACTTCGGAAGAAACCGAATTCAAGAGTTTCCTGCATCCTAACGGACCGCAACTTTAATTACACGCAATTCAGTCGGCGCAGACGCTAATGAAATTCCGATGCGGAAGGTTAATTAAAAGTTCAGGCAAACAATTAGAGAAACAACGATTACCGAACCGCAATTCCACTCAGGATAAAACGATCGTTTGCAACGTCCGCCATTTTTTTTTTCAAATAGATGCTTCGAATTTAAATACCAGATCTAATAATCGATATGACTTCTGTTTCAGGCGGATATAACCCAAAATTGAGTTTCGAAATTCGACGTGACTTCTATTTTGGACGGGTCGAAGGGTTTCGAAATTGAGTTTCGGAAGAATTCCGCTAAACTGTCCGCTCTAATGGGTATCAAACGTTGTTACAAAGGGCACACGAACTGTCCGCTCGAACCTCGCCCCGTCAATGGACGCGATCAACCGCCTAGGGGGCGCAGCGAGGCGCGAACGCTCGAACTGGAGGCCGCAGGATGGAGTGTGACACGCGCGGCGGGGACCACGTGGTATTTCCGTGGCATCTAGACACCCTAATTTAAACTGACTCGCGGATCTACCGGGGGTTTTCGAGCCCTGTCTAGTCGCTGTCACAACGAACGACTGAAATATGAGAAACACTTCGTCCGTCTCCGGTAAGGTGGAAGTGGAATTTTTTCTCGCGGTGATCG